GTCCGATTCCTGGTCCAACACATGCGGCTGAACGCGCTGTATCTCCATGATGAATAAAACTTTATTCCTACCACTATCAGGGTCACGCCTGTGTCCCCCTCCCTCCCGAGATGGGCGGAGGAAGGGCGGCTCACTCGTCGCCTACGTCACGTTTGGAGGGCGGAGCCTGTGCTTTCTCAGGACGGGCGAGGGGAGGAGCAATAGTCTGGTCTGTGACTCCATAACTATTGTGTAATGGATGTTCCAAAACCCAAATAGTGCTTGTTTATGTGCAGAAGATATAATGTGAAAAGGGTGATTTTGCACGAGATGGGCCCTTTAAGAAAACAGATACTTGCTGGTTCAGAATAAAGTTTCAAAATATTGGTAATGAACACTCTCATGTGCAGCTTGAAAAAAAAATGGACTCAAATGAATATATAGTTTCAATAAGTAGTTTTAGTATTGTTTGATCTGTGTATTGCTTTTTTCAAAGACTTGTTATCACAGGATCATATCACGATTCAGTCTGATATCATCTCTACGCGAGTGCTTAAGTGTTTGCATGTTTTTGCCACGTCTCTAGCAGGACAGTGACAGAGGAGCTCATTGAAATAACTGTGGTCTCGCGGGGCTAGCTAAAGAGAGGGGGCAGAGAGGGGAGCGGCTCACCCTGCAGAGGATGGGAGCCAGGGGAGCCGTTGGGACTGCGATTCATCCAGGCTGCTGCCGCTAACCTTGGCATGCCAGTCCACGCGTGACGGGGGCGCACCCATGTACAGCCACCCACCCACCCGGTCTGTCCTCTGCGTGGGTGCTTTGTTTGGGCGACGTGTCTGAGAGGAGTCAGTGGAAGAGGAAGAGGAGGGAGGCTGGTTCTTTAGTGCCTTTGAATGATCTTGCCCCCAGGAGAAAGGTTGGGAGAAAAGAAAAGTGTGTGTGTGTGTGTGTGTGTGTGTGTGTGTGTGTGTGTGTGGTATTGTTCTGTGTGCGACCGCTGGGAACACACACCTAGAGCGATGTTGGGTTTCCAGGCTTTGTGCGGACGTTACTTTGACTTGTATTCATTACCTGGAGACTGATTCTAGTCTTAATAATAATCACAACCACAGATGAAAAGTATATTTACACACTTGCATTTAATTGAGTAACTTTTTAAACAAATTCTACCTTTCTAGCAACATACTTTTACTCCTACTTGAGTCATATTTTTATTAAAGTAACACTCCTATTACTTGAGTGAAAGTTTTAGTTCTTTTTCCCACTGCGAGTAAGTCTACAAGTGACAAAAAAGTGTTGACGATCTGAAATGTTTTGAATGTTTGTGTTTCTTTTATCGCTCCTCCAGATTTAATTTAAATCAGGAGTGTCAAACTCAAATTCACAGAGGCCAAAATTAAAAACTGGGACTAAGTCGTGGGTCAAATTAAATATTTATTGAAACATTTCAACAACATCTGCATGTTTTCTCTTCTTTTGAGATATGTAATGTTAAACCTTTTCTTATTCAAATAAATGTTTAATAATAGTTTTGCTTAAACGTTGAATCCAGAACAAGCAGAATATAAAATAATAATACAATTTTAAATAAATAATGTCTCTGTAGTCCAGGGGTCTCCAGCCTGTAGCTTGAGAACGACCAGTAGCTCTTCTCCATCTCTTTCCAAGTAGCTCACCAAGAGATTTCGAAATTATACATAAACAAATTCCACGCCTATTACTGTTGGAAATGTATAGTTTTTAAGCCCAACTTTGTGCACCAAAAAATGAAATGAAAGTGGTGTGTGAGTGAGTGGTGGTGGTCAGAGGGGCCGTTGGCACAGATTGGCAGCCTCGCTTCTGTCAGTCTGTCCCAGGGCAGCTGTGGCTACTGTAGTAGTTTACCACCACTGGTCACATTTTTCTATAGCACTTTTCCACCTTCAAGGCACTCTACAACAAGGAACCACTCACCCATTCACACACCAGTGTACACAGACACTGTGGGCAAGGTGGGTTAAGTGTCTTGCCCAAGGACACAACAAAAGCATTCATCTGTGGGAGCTGGAATCACATCAGCCACCCTGTGGGTCAGTCCGCTCAACCTGTGATGTTTATGTCAAGAATGGGATTTGAACCGCCAACCTTCAGATCAGTGGGTGAATGCTCTACCAACTGAGCTACTGCCTCCCACCACTGAGTGTCGAGTGAATGAACAATGATTTGTAAAGTGCTTTGGTATCTTGAAAGGCGCTCTATAAATGCAACGATTAATTAATTTATTTAAAAAAATGGACATTGTTTTTTGTTTTATTGGCATCTAACTGTATCCCAAGCCTCGTCCTCTTTCTTATAATCGTCTCTCTGGCAGTTTTGTTTAATACATAGTTTAGTAGTTTTAATACATACATAGTTTTGTGTAATATATATTTGATATGATCTCAAGGGCCAAATATAATTGTATCGTGGGCCAAATTTGGTCCCTGGGCCTGAGTTTGACATGTCTTATTTTTGTGATATATCCTTTGAAAATACCAGATTTTGTCCAATATTTTAACATTTAATATCCTTCCATTTATATAAACTTCAACTACAACTACTTGAGTACAATTTTTGGTTACGCTACTCGAATCTAATTACAAGTGACCTGAACCCTAAGCTTTAAGTTTGTCCCAGATATGCAGCTATATTGTAAAAGCAGCTCTTAAGTGTCAAAATGAAACCTCTGTGTGCTGTCCATATCTATTTATTGACCTTTTTTATTGTCCGAGAATCAGGAAGTGCACTGCTAAGCACTTACTAATCCTGAACCTTTCTTAAATTATGAATGAAGTCTTTAAGTCATTATCAAGTCGTACCAAAACATTCTACAGTCTCAGCCGAATTTTACTGGAGACACTGTGCACACAATCGCAATTAAAACAACAATAATCAGTGTAATGAATTGTTAATTACGAGGGCGAATACACTCCCAGCAACCAAGCATGTACACATTATGTAAACACACACACACACACAAGACGGCGAGGTTAAATAACACTTGGATCTCGGCTCTGATCGAAACATCTGCTCACCTGCCTCTGTTACACACCCGGGAGACTAACTACACACACACACACACACACACACACAATACAAGCGCGCACACCAAACAGCTGGCTGCTCAAGAGGAAGTGAGGCTGCTTAGAAACTTAAGTACACAGACACCTGAAGAATAAACATGTCTTATTTAGGATAGTTTTACCACAAGTCAGTATCGGTTTTGTATTCCAGAGAACAGCTTCTGCTTTCTACTGTACCGCCCACCACAAGTGCTACTGAAACTTATCTAAATATTGCTCCTTTTTTTTCTTGTGTAATTATAATATGAAATAATTTTACAGCTTTTTTTTTTTTTAAATCTGTCTCTATAAAACAAATAACTTAACAATATAAATAGTCTTTTAACTTCTTATCTTTTCAGAGTGGGATTTGACCATATAGTTGGGGAGCCAGTCTCAAAAGCTCAATAAAATGGGTTGAACCTGCCATACTTTTTTTATTTATTTATTTATTTTTATTTGTATTTATTTTTTTGTTAACTGTGACCCTAAGGACCAATAATTGCAGGGTCTGCTCTTCTGGAAAAATCGCGAAAAAAAATTTTGGCCATTTTTGTGTATGTAACCTTCATTTTTTGATAGAAAAGTTTGAAAAATTATTTTAAAAATGTATTATTGGCATATTGGCTGATGTCAAAACTTGGGGGAATAGTTGATTGCCAATGAGGTAAAGACGAAAATATTGGAAAAATGGAAAAAACACCTTCTTTTTTGCATTAAATTGAGCCAAAATCATGTAGAAAAGCATTTTAAGAATTAGTTTTTCACTGTATGTTGTCACCATTACATTTTACAGGAAATTTTTTCATTTTTCAAACTTTTCTATCAAAAAATGAAGATTATATACACTAAAATGGCCACAATTTTTTTCGCAATATTTCTAGAAGAGCAGACCCTCAATTATTGGTCCTTTGAGTCACAGTTAACAAAAAAAAAAAAAAACACACACACAAAAAGTATGGCAGACGATATCAGGTTCAACCCATTTTTCAGACTTTGGCTCCCCGACTAATAACATTTTTCAGGATTTATTAAAATCTTTTTTTTATAATTTCACATATGTATAAGCTGTGGGTGGAGATAGGGGGTGAGTGAAGTTGACAATTTCTGACCATTCAAGCCTCATATCCATGCCTTGGATCCAGAACACACACTTCTTCAATACAAAAATGTGAGTTTCTGAGTTCAGAAAGTGGATTAGCCAATCAGGTACACGTGTGGTATGTCCGTAACAAAACAAATATGGCTGCTTTCGGGAAAAAAAATTAAAAATAAAGTAAAAATATATATATCTCAAAGGCCTGAAAAACATGGGAGATTTTTCCAGAATCAATGAATGGGGCACTAAATTCTGTTTGAAACCAAGCGGTAACCAATGACCTCCTTCGTTTCACATAAGTCACTGAAATAAACAAATCTGATTGGACGATCACGCTTGGTTTGTGCTCGAGATGGAGAGATAGGTGACTGAAAAAAAACCAGCCAACTCAAATGTAAGACGAAACAGGATTACTCAAACTTGTATTTTTTTTTTTTTTTGCAATCAAAGTAGTTTTCATGCCACTAAAGTTGCACTGCGTAACTTTTTGGTTGGGGGTCTGTCACCTGCTTGTATCTATGGAGATGCCATTGCTCTGCCTGAAATGTTCCACAGTATGACATTAAACAGGTCTACTTTACATTTATTCAATTACAGGTGGTTTTATAGCTTAGAAATACCTAGAAAAACAGGCATTCTGACTGTGAGTGGGGTCACCTCTCCACAGATGTGACCTGTAACTTGGTCTGGTTTGAGTTCCATAAAAATAGAAAGGCGAAACATTCCAGTTGAAGCAACAACATCTCCATGAAGAAAATCATTTGACAGATCCTCCACCAGAATTAAAATTTTTGACTTATTTTTTAATCATGTCACTTATCTTTGCCTTGTTTCTCCACCAGGTCCCAGAGCGTTTTCTGGAGGTAGCCCAGGTGACCCTCCGCGAGTTCTTCAACGCCATCGTGGCCGGGAAGGACGCCGACCCCTCATGGAAGAAGGCCATCTACAAGGTCATCTGCAAACTGGACAGCGAGGTCCCAGAGGTCTTCAAGTCCCCCAACTGTCTCCAAGAGCTGCTCCATGACTGACTAGGCCTGGGGAGGTCAACATGGACCCTCCACCAACCTCCCAGACCTTTGAAAACATTCGGAGAAAAGACTTACTAGAGACTGCAGTCGAAATTGACACGGGGCTTGTGAAAGACCAAATAAAACAAAAAGAAAAACACACAAAAACAAGAGATTTTTTTCATCCTTCTTGCACTTCTTGCAACAAAAAAAAAAAGTTCCATTCTCTTCATCCGGTTGTGGAAGAAGACCTAATCAACAGAAGAAATTGAAAAGTATATTAATCTTTCTATCGTGGATGTTTTTAAGTTAACGGACATTTTGAGATAAAGTGACGTTTCTGTATTTTTTCCTCCTTTGTATAAGCGGACTTCTCGGATCCCTTGGCCAGTTAGCGAATAGGCTACGAATAGAAAAAAAGCACAGTGCCATTCCCAGACCCTCACCAACCCTCGAACCATTTAGCTGTTGTTTCCACTCTTATTGTACTGAGAATTTTTGGGTGTTTTGACAAAGTGGCTCCCCCCCTGCCCGGACCCAGACAAGGTTGCCCCTTTTCCCCTGTGAACTTCGCCTTTTCAATCCGCCGCACAACTATACAAGTACACAGCCATGCCATGCACTCAAAATGATCACAGTTTGACTTTATTTTAGGAGATTTGACAACGTAAAGGTCCCATATCACGCAAAATTATCTCTTGTAAGTTTTAAGCAATGTTATAACGCTGTCACCTCATCGAAAACAGACCTGGAGTTGTGTTTTGTTTCATTCATTCACACAGGTTTGACTAACACTTTATTATTAGTCTTGTCTACATTTCCAAAGCTCAGAATGCTCAGTTCCACCTTATGATGTCATGAAGTGGTAGCCAGGCTGACTCCACCTAGTGCCTCAATTTCTTTTCTCTCCAGCGACTAGGTCAGGACTCAAAATACACTAGACGGTTTGTAAGAACCCCAGAAGTGTGAGTTTGGGCACCAGCCAATCAGCGAAGAGACAGACATTCTGTGTTGGCAACGATTCCCGAGATCAAGGATTTAAAGCCGGAACAAAGAGAATGTTCTGTGAATTTTATCAAGGGGAAAGACGTTATTGTCCTTCTTCCTACAGGATTTGGGAAAAGCTTAATATACCAGTTAGCCCCGTTAGCATTACATACGACATGACCAAAATAGCAGCGATTGGTTAAATTAAAAAAAGTACCCACCTACTGTTGAACGAACGAATTCTAACACTGCGCGGTCAGACAGTTTCTACGAAGTGAAACCGGCCGATGAATCAGGCTAATGAAGCGGTAGGTTTCAAGTTAACTGCCTCCAGGAGCTGCTTCATGACTGACTAGGCCTGGGGAGGACAACATGGAGTGTCCACCAACCTCCCAGACCTTTGAAAACATTCAGAGAAAAGACTTATTAGATCATTGTTTCCTAAAGAATGGCCTACGATCCTCAGGTGGGTCGCAAGAGATTTTTTTGGGTCGCCTTGATACGATCTGCAATATACATATACATACATCTCCATGCACCCCCACCTAACCAATTTTCTGTCGGAAACACTGATTATTGTTTTTCCTTGTTTAAAACTTGAGTACCGTATTTTCGGACTAAAAGGCGCACTTCTGGAAAATCGTCAGTGCGCCTTATAATTCAGTTCGCCTTATGTATTTATTCTGGTTGTGCTTACTGACCTCGAACCGATTTTCATATATTCCACTGAGTCGCAGCAGCGCGCAAGGAGTGAGCTGTTGCTTATAGTTTATGCAAATAAGCCATGTGGTTTTAAGTTTCGCTTCTGTAAAACGCAAACAAATGTGCGCAAAGCTGCATTAACCACATTATTACTTGACCTATATTAAATTAAAAAGTCTTAAGTGTCCTCGGTTTGTTTCGCTTAATGCGCCTTATAATCCGGTGCACTTTATGTATGAAAATAGACAAGAGAATTTAACATTATTGATATTGCGCCTTATAATCCGGTGCACCTTATAGTCCAACAAATACGGTAAACACAATCACTCAGTCAGCAATAAAATATCCTCATTAATGTTCAATAATGGTCACAATTTTATTTTGTGACTTAAGAATAATGTCTATGCATTTGGGTCGCGAAGAATTGTGACTGTGAAAATATGGGTCCCCAGAAAACAAGTTTGGGAAACACTGTATTAGACTGTGCAGTTGAAATTGATATGAGGCTTGTGAAAGACCAAACAAAACAAAACAAACAAAAAAAGAACACAAAAACTAGATTTTTTTTCATCCTTCTTACAACAAAAGAAAAAAAGTTTCTACCGTTAACTTTTTTGTTCAGTAGAGATTGGAAGTTCCAAATGCGAAATAATCCAAATGATTCTAGTGAAGACGTATGGAGTTTAAAAACACAATAGAGGACTTCTTGTATTACCACGTGACATCACAAGGTGGAGCAGAGCGTTTCCTGTTCGAGAAAAGAATTCAGCCTAAATACGCAGAATTTGTGTGTTAAACTCAAACACAACTCCAGGTCTGTTTGTGATGAGGAAACAACATTATAACATGATCAGAAAATAGCGTAATATCGACCTTTTATGATTTACGATGTTTGTTGAAAAATACCGTAAATGATACCAGTGGGGGTACATTTTTGCAATATTTGTTGTTTTAGCTCTAAATTATAATGGTAAAATTGTATTGTATATGTATGAAAATGTTTGGAAGTGTTTAAAATTTTACAAAACAGGTTCAAATCTGTCAGAATTCCATTTAAGTGAAAAATCCGTTGGGCCTGGACGTAGCCACAGAGCAACAGCTAGAGCCACGTCATCATTTATTAATATTTATATTGACTTTTACTACGTCTTTTCTTATTTTGAGCTTATAATCACCATCATTATTTGCAGTGTCGTAGAGTGGGTTGGGAGACTATTTACGTTTACATTACACTGTGGAATTTTTGTCATAATCTCCAACAGTTTTACTAATATATGCACTGATGTTTAGCTGTTGATTAAAAAAGGAAAAAAAAAAGTTCTTATTTTTAAACTCTGAATACATGACGTGCCATATTTTTTGACTTATTTCAATTCAATTTCTTTCTTTTTTTTTTTGCACTTTGGAACAGAAATCATGGACCCAAAATGTTGGCGTTGTATAGACTAACCAGGGCTGCTTCTAGCTTCGTGGGGGCCCCTGTGTTAAATGATGTTTGGGGGCCCCGTTTGCCAAACCATAAGAGAGTGATTCTGAATTCTTACATGGGCCACAAACATGCGTCAGTAATGTTAAAATTCATAGTTACACTTTATAATAAGTACGCCTAAAGCCACAGTATGTAACTTTTTAGACTGAAAAAAGACCAATAATAGTTTGTTTTGTTTTGTTTGTTTGCTTTTTTTGTTGTTATTTACATTTTTTTCCCTTTTTTTTCCTTTTTTTTCCTTTTTTTCTTTTTTTTTTTTTTTTTTTTTTTATTGCAATGACAAACTTATGTCCTTACTATAAGTGGTCTTGCATCTCCACAAACCTGATTCTTATTTGGCCTGGAGAAGGGCCTGCTCCCCTTTTTGGTTTGGCGTCTGTCACCTGCTTGTTTCTATGGATACGTCATTGCTCTGTCTGGAATGTCCCATAGTATGACATTAAACACTTATATTTAACCAGTTACAGGTGCTTTTATAGCTCAAAAATACCTAGAAAAACAGACATTCAGACTCAAAACGTGTCGCCTCTCCACAGAACTGACCTGTAACTTCATCTGGTTTGGTCTCCATGAAAATAGAAAGGCTTAATATCATACTGTGAAACATTTCAGACAAAGCAATGACATTTTTATAGAAAAAGCATTTAACAGAACCCACTAAACCCACCAAAAAAGTTACAAAATACACATTTACTGAAGGAAACATCCAGAAAGTTACACAGTGTTGCTTTAAGGCTAATGAAGGCATAGCTATTACAAAGTGGTACCATGAAATTAACACAATCACATATTACTGGACAGATTTTTCAGCAATGGGGCCCCCTTGGGTGTATAGGCCCCCCCCAGTACATGTCTTATATGGCTTATGTCCTGATCCGGCCCTGCTTGGCTTCGAAACGCGTATCCTCAACACTGGACTCAAGTTGCTTCTTAAGACCTGGATCACACCGGCATCATTGGCACAAACAAAAGATCATCCGCGTTTGAAGGGGGCTAATAATACTACGCTAAGACGCTAGAGCCCGGCAGCCAAACGCGCCGAACTGCCTTGCCCTCCGGTCAGACCCTTGAAGCCTCCACAGTCCTCAGAGGTAATCCGGAGTCTTACGGGGGGTATTCTTGTCCGTCACCGGGGCAGAGAGGGGTCACGTCATGTGTCAAGTATTTGAAGTTTTCACAGCAGAAAAAAAAGAGAAATTTGCTGGTATTTGTAGCTTGTATAGATGTAAAAACCACTCGGATATTGTTATTTATAATTGAGATTCCTATCAATGTTATTCCAATGATCATTATTATTATTATTATTATTAATGCTTGCTACAGATTTGACCAGTGGTTTACTCATTGTTTATCCGTCACATGAAATAAATTATTCTTAAAAAAAAAATCTGTTTTTGTGTGGTATGTAAGAATTCTTTTAAAGACTTTTTTTTTCAGGGCCGTATCTGTTTTTATTGTAGCCCTGAGCAAAAATGAAACAAAATTCAGAAATTAGTTGTTCCCAAAGAAAAAAAAAAACATGAAATTGAGATCTACACTTCTAATTTATAAAGATTTTTAAAAGTATACAGTTTTCTAAAATGGTAATTACAATTAACCCTGAAACTGAAATTATTACAGTTTCGTTTTCAGGTACAATTTCATTTTCAGTGAGAGTCCCGGGACTTTTTGCTTGGTTATTTTGGGGGCTCTGTGGTCTAGAGGATGTGGGCCACACTGTTCTGATGTTCTGCCATCTGGGACCAGGCCACAAAGGAAAATACGATATGTCTTTTAAAAGTAATTTCTTTTTTTATATTTGACCACTATATCCCTGTGTTTTACTCTGAAAACAAAGTGCACATTAACCCAGTAAACAGCAAATAACACAGTATAAAAAGCACATTTCAAACCAGGGTTAGGAGTTTTAAACACTTTTAGTAACAGTCCTAAAACCAAACATGGAAATGAAGGATCTGGTCCAAACTCCAGGGTTCACACTCTCAAAATTTCAAAACTTTTCCATGACTTTTTCATGGCCTAAAGTGAATTTTACATGAGTTTAAAAATGAATATGAAATGTTAACCCTTTCCACTCAGGTGCACACATTCAGAAATAATCAGAACAGTCTAATAAGAATTTAACAGAACGCTGAAATTGCATGAAAGAGATACTAAGATTCCATAACTTTTCCAAAACTTTCATTGAATTTATAAAGTTTTCTGAACCTGAAAAATGTCATTTTTAATTTCCTTGACTTTTCCAGGATTCCCATGACTGTGGGCACCCTGAAACACTCTGATCTGGTGTCAGGAGTCACTGATGAGACAGGAAATCTGAGCTCAGGGAGACGAAAAGCGAGCAAGTGAGGAAGATTGCATGTCTTTGTGTATGTCTTTTGTCCGTATTATTGAATTATTAATCAATCATTGGATTCATACAGAGACTTGGAAGACACCCAAAGAGCTTCGCAGAGTGTTGTTCATTCACTCCACACTCGGTGATGATAAGATACTATTACACAGAAGTGAGGCATCCAATCTACGCCATCCGACCACCACCAACACTCACGCACATCACTTTCTTTCTAGGCAATGTTTAGTTTAGTTTAGTTTATTTAATAAGACAGGAACAGTGCACAGTCTACATGAACGAGAGATGCATTTTGCGAGGTTGTAGCACTAGATGTAATTTCCACGTGTCGTCTCTGGGCAGGTTCATGTTATAGTTCATCAAATCAAACATACAATGAGAATGTCTTTATAATGACTGAAGCGTCATAACAATTCCGTATCCTCATTCACACCCAGTTCTCTCAGCATCTTAAAAACATCATCTTTTATCAAAATCATTCAGTTCATTCACTCCAGAACATCACACTCTCTCCTTACACTCATCAGTCACATTATGGGCGCAGGTTTGGTTTGAAAGGAGCCACTGTTTTGTCAAAGTCCCATAGTTTGTACATGTAGCTGAAGTGTTTTGCCTAAGGACGAGGGATGTAACCGTATCCAACATATCGTGATATCGTATCGTCAATAGTTTCACAATAACATCATGGGCTGTCACAATATATATCGAATCACAAGTTACTTTGCTTAAATTCTTGGTTTTATAATGGCAACAGCTTATGAACATAGAAAACTACTAGGGGTGTAACGATACCAACATCTCACGATACAGTATCATCACCGTATGAACCTCACGGTACGATATTTATTGTGATATCATGGGAAAGCTCACGATAGGTTGGGGAGGCTCAGTACGATATTTTCATGATATACATCTCACAGAACAATATTTGTCATGATTTTTTGTGGAGGTAACAAAACTGAATACGCTACTTTTTCCTCTTAAAATGTCTTGACACGACTTAATCCAAAAATCTAAGACTTAAAAGTGTTAGCACTGTTATTTCTTCTTGCAGTCTGCACTGAAATGGAGCAAAGGATCATGGTCTATGTAGTTCCTCTGTCTTTTTGTAGCTATTGTTGCACCATACTCTTCATTTAAGGCATGTGTGTCAAACTCATTTTGGTCCGGGGGCCATATCCAACCTACTTTGATCCCAAAGGGGCCGGATCAGAAAACTCATGTTATACAAACCCCAAAAATAACAATAATTTCAAATATTTGTGCAGAGAAACACAAATGTATTACAGAAATCTTTTTTAATTGACGAACTCTTTCTTTTACAAAATATTATATATTATGAACAACCTGAAAACTTTAAGAAAAACACAATTTCAGCACAATGTTTTAACATGAACTTGTTTGCAAATAGGAATAAGTCATTTTTTCTTGTAAAATCCTGCACTCGGCTCCACTTTTCTCATGTTGGACATTTTTCTGATGAGGGTGTCACGGTCAACAGTCAAAACAATCGTCCTTTAAGAGCGTTTGGAAAGAGGCCACGTACAGAGATGCTGGAGATGCTGCTGTGCTGAGCATCACCGAAAATTACCAATATTTTAATAGAAAATATAATTTTAATATTTTAGTAGAAAATCAGCTGAGGGCCAGATTCAAGGTCTTGGAGGGCCGGATCCGGCCCCCGGGCCTTATGTTTGACACCCATGATTTAAGGGAAGAGACTTGTAATTCGATATATTGTGATGGTCCACGATATTATTGTGAGAACTTTGACGATACGATATCACAATATTTCAGTTATTGTTACATCCCTAAAAACTACATATCCCATGATTCATTTCAGTCAAACATGAAGAAATATGTTTTTACTTGAATTCTTGCAATTATGATGGAAATAATTCACACCAAAATCTTGTCAAGATATTTTAAAAGCAAAAAAGTGTCTTATTTACAATTCTATGAGTATAGTCCATCATTACACGGGCCTGGTGCTAGCTAACAGGGGAGAGTAATAAGAAACAAACAAGCAAAGATTTCAAATGTTTATTGTTAGATGATGATGAAGTAAGGAGACCTGTAAAAGAAAAGAAAAGTAAAAATAAGTGCAGTTAAATTGAAGTAATTGTGGTTAAAATGAGTTGTACTTACTCTTGTGTTGTCTGCACCTTAAGAAGGTTCCGAGACAGGCAACCATTTTGTTAGGAGGAGGGGAGCACAGAGATATTTTAACTTTTCTATTTAGTATTTTTAAATGAATAAAACATTTTACAATTGAATAAAGAGAGATATTTTTGTATTTAGATTTGATTGAATATTTGTTGCACTGTTTTTGATAGTGAACTTTTAAAATATTGAATATAAATTGTTGAACTTACCTGCACTTTAAGTTGAGCTCACCCAATTAGAGGAGGAGGTCTATAAAAGAAGCCAGCCTCACCTCTGTCAGCAGAAGGTGTTGTGTATGAGCGCAGGTTACTGTAGTGCTTGTGGTTTTAACTTTTGTACTTTGTAAATATTTTTTAAATGTTTTTGTTTTGGTGATGGAATAAACACACTTGGGATCTGCATGACAAATCGGCTCAACTCCACTCTGTTCCTCTTTTGCCGTTAAGGTTGGTATCCAGTAGTGACGGTCGAGATGAAGCCCCATGAAGCACTGAAGCGTTCCATCCATTTGCTCGACTCTTGAGCCGATGCTTCAAGGTGTTTCATTTTCTCCACTGCGCCAACAAGTGGACAAAAAATGTATAACAGGCGGAGTGATAATA